TATGATTCTGATTAGTGCTTTTTTTTGTTTATGTGCTTCCTCTGTATTTTCTATTTGTTACTTTTTTTGATAATGTTTACACTTCCAACGGGCTTTCAGGAATCAAGACAATGGTTCCTGCTCAACGACAAAGAGGAATCAAAAGTCTGCTGCGCGTCTATCACCAAGGTTGGTCCTATGCTTTCTCTTGTCCCTTTGTGGATGCAGACTCCCAGAGTAGAAGCTGATACTCAAGTTGAAGATTGGGCTTCCGGGTCCAGGACCAACCTTGCCACATCTTGGCATATTGTACAGCCTCACCCTCTCAACATGTCCGGCCGTGCTTCGGCGCCATGACGGCAAAAACCAGCTGTGGGTCATTCTTGCAGAGAGTCTGGAATCTCATGTTGCAACACCCTTATTTGTTTAGGGTTTAGGGTTTGTCACCTAGTCACCTCTGTTCTCCAAAACAGAGTTGCAAGCTCTCTCTAAGAACCCGAAAGACGAAGCGCGAAGCACTCCTCCCCTGGATCCCCAACCCTCAGTGAGGCCAAAGATCCGAAAGTATCGCGCGAACCCACATAATTCAGCGCACAGACCCCTTGGAGCTTACCACCTCTCAGAACTTTCAGATTCTCGTGCAAGGGTTCATGGCTTAGGCCGCTAAGAGTTTTGTAGTAAGGCCTTGGGAACGGTCATCCCTATAGGGCTTTGGGTTTAGGGTAAACCCTAAATCCTAAACCCTAAACCCTAAACCCTAAACCTGGACCCCTGTGTTGAAGAGGTCTTCGTCTACGCCGACAAGGGAAACTTTGGCACGCGCGGAGCCGCGCTTGCGCCCCCGAAGTGCAGAGAGTGAGTTCGCAGTATCCCATGGCCCATCAAGCAAAGGCAAAGTTCGGTTTAGGGTTTAGGGTTTAGGGTGAGGCACATGCCAAAGCCTAAAATAATCTTCTATAGCATGACATATACAACTAGGTTTTGGGTGTTTGCTTTGGACAAAGGGGCTTCTTGGGCTAGATTGGGCGGTCTAGCGGCACCAAAAGCTTACAGACCAGTGCTCAAACCGGAAACGTTTAACCTCCCAAACCCTACATGCCTAATTTAGGGGCATGAAAAATTAGAATAGGGTCTTGGGCTCCTATATAATTAGTATATCCATAACAAGGAACCCTAACAGTCATATTGGTAAGTATCTAGGCTTCTATATCAGACCCTAGAGCCTCTGCTGGGCCATGCGATTCCCGGGGCATGAAAACATTGCCGTAAACCTTCAGTTTCAGGCTTCTGGTCCTCTTCAAGGACAAGGATGACCTCGGCTCCGGTGGAAAAATGAAACATTTGGGAGTTTAGGGGTTTAGGGTTTAGGGAGAGTTTCCGAAAATTAGGGGGTACCTTATTTTGGGGCCCTTACAATGAGGATCATACTATTGAGGGTACTATATAAGGGTCCCCTGTTTTCGGAAACCCCCCTTTCGGGCCTTCTTCTTGAAGGCTTCAGGGCTCAGGGCGTGCGCTCAGGGCTTTTTGGGTTCAGGGTTTAGGGCGGGGTGTCTAGGATAGAGGTTTTAGGGTGTCGTGTTTGTTCAGGGTGTAGGACTTCAGGAAGTAAGGCTCTGCTCTTTAAAAGCTGCTAGGGCTAAGACAAGGATTTGGGGTTTGGGGTTTAGGGTTTAGGGTTTAGGGTTTAGGGAGAAGCTCGTCGCGTCGGGGAGCATGAGCTCTAGTAGGATTAAGGCTCACAGGTGCCCAGGTTGAAGGCAAACAAAGGATCTCTACGTTCGGAATCTGTAATCCTAAACCCTAAACCCCAAACCGCAAGATGGGGGCCTTGATAGTTTTTAGAGCCGGGTTTTGGAGTGTATTAAAGTATGACAGATTGACGATCAAGGGGATAATACTTCAAAAATGTTGATGTACCTATTTTGCTTTCGGAATCTGTAGACTCGTCGAGGGTTTGCGGACGGCTGATCGCCTGCCTTGGAGATCCAGTGCAGGAGACCCGAAGGAAAGAAAAAAAGGACCGGAAAACACAACCAACATCAACCAATTGCATGAAAGGCTTCCGAATGTAACCACTAAACTAAACCCTAAACCCTAAACTCTAAACCCTGAACCCTAAACCTTATAGACCCTAGACCCTAGACCCTGAACTCCCTAAACCCTGAACCCTATTACCGACAGCCTGGAAGGCCCTCGAGCCCTGCAGAGCGGCTTAGGCCGTCAGCGATCCTTCACCTTGACTGATGCCTTGGCCACGGCACTCGCTCGCAACACCAAAGACAGCAAGTAATGTAGGGGCCTTAAGAATTAGAATAGGGTTTTGTGGGGGGGTATATGATACTATAAATTTAATTAGAATAGGGTTTGGGTAATATTATACGATAATTACGATAAGGAACCCCCCCAAAGTAGTGTTGGTAATTATTTAGGCCCCTATTAAAGGAGCTCAGTGGATTCAGGGTTTACGGTGTAGGATTGAAGGCTCAGCGAAGTGGTCGCACTAGGCAGCATGTCGTTTTCCGGGGTGCATTAGCAGATACAGTCGTGCGTAGATGATCATACATGATACACACTACGTCAAAAGTCGCAGGTATCCTACCACCTCCGAGCCCGAGACACCGATTCCGAGACTCTGAACCAAACCCTTGCTCCTTTCCACTACCCAGTTGAGAATACTACTAGATTTTCAAAGCCTCTCTAAATGCTAAGCTCCAACAGAATTGCGGACATTACATCCAAAACTCTCAAGGCCAAACACCCCCACCCCCACCCCCCGCCCCTCCCGGTTTCCCTACTCCAATTGCTAATGGGAAGCCTTGAAGGAAGCGCACTTAAGGAAGCCTACCCTCTGCTTTAGTTAAGGCTCTTTAATGGGTGGTTCTCTAAATGAGGGTCCCTTTCTAGGTCCCCCAAAAAAAGGACCTCAACAGGGACCCTAACATAGAAAGCTACACTTCGACAAGGGCCAAGGCACTGGGCGGCCTCTCGAGCCGATCCCGCTCGTCTGTGGCCCAGGTAGCCAACTCCTGGCTGAAACTCCTGCGGCTGGGGCTCCAAAATGGGCCGAACCGGGGCTCGGGGAGGGCTCAGGGGGGCTTAGGGCGTGAGGCTTAAGGGTTTAAGGGCTTCGGGTTGAGGGTTCTTGGTTTAAAGTTTCGGGCTGAGCCTTCTTTTTTTTTCAAAGTGTAGTGCAGTGGCCTTTTCTGTGCGATCCAGCCGGCCCGGGCCGGCTGAGCCTTCAGGGTAGCTAGTTCATGGTTGGGGTAGTATGAAAAAAATTTAGATTTATATTCCTTATTGGGTTTAAGTACCCTTAAACATGTAAAATGTTACCCAACTATGACAAAAGAGGGTTTAGGGCTCGGGGTTTGGCTTTGAGGCCTTGAGAGTTAGGCAAGGGTTAGAGAACGAGGCTTTCGGGCTTAGGGTTTAGGGTTTAGGGTTTAGGGTTTAGGGTGGTGGGCGGTGTGTGCTGTTTGCTACGATTGGCGAGTTCATCACGCATCGGGACGCGAAACTTCGCAGTACCCCGGTGCGGATACTTGCGCATCTGTGGCAGAAGTGCGCATCAGAACAAAGCAATCCCCTTAGACTTTAAGAACTCCGGATGTCTCGCGGACACCAGTCAATTTCGGGACTAGTGTATGTCTGTCGCTGGGCCTCTCCTTCAGTTGGTGGTGGGCTATGTGGGGGTTTCCAAAAATAGGGGACCCTAATATAGTACCCTAAATAGTAGGATCCTTATTATAAGGACCCCTAAATAAGGTACCCCTTATTTTCGGAAACTCCCATGTGGCGCGTGGGCATTGGAAACCCAGGAAACAGCCAACCCTGAAAGACGAACACATTGCAGATCTCAAGGGCTGCAGCCACAATCCTCGAACCCTCAAGATTGGGTACTGCCCCCATACAGTAACAGTATATAATAGGGCTACTATTAAGGGCCTAATATATCCATACTATAAGTATTATCCAACTGTTACTGAGTGGGGGCAGTACCCAACCTCAAACCCTCAAGACTCAAGACATCATTGCAGGGACTGCTGTCCTCGCTTGGTCAAACCTCGGTGGCGCAGGCTTCGAGATTAGGGCTGCGGCTTGAGCGATGTTCCCGTGTGGCTGCTAGATTCCCGACTGCCTTAATAATTAGAAGACAGAGTTTTGTGCTCTTTTCTAGTACAATTATAATTAGGAACCCTAAGAATAATATTGGTACTTATTTAGGCTTCTACATTACTCTTAATCCACTGGAAACCAGGTATGAATGCCCAAGGAAGGTGGCTCTTGCACGCGACCAGAACGACTCCAAGATCCCTTAATTAAGGAATATACCTTAAATCATATTAAGGATAGGGTTTAGGGTTTAGGGTTTAGGGTTTAGGGTTTAGGGTCTACTATAATTTAAGGTATATTCCTTTCTTAAGGGATTTTGGAGTC